CAGAGCTGCTGGAGAGGCTAGTGGGATCAGGATGCCCCCAGCACCCAGGGTGCTGGTGAAAGCCCAGCAGATTTTGGGGGCCTGGGTGATGTGGGAGAGGCAGGTCCAATGTGTGATGTGGGACTGGGGGAAGGGGCCATCACTTTCCAGCATCATTGACTGATGGCACTCTTGAAGTTCCTTCCCTCTCCTGTGCCTACTGGGGCTGTGCTGTGAACAAGGCCATACCAAATTACTAATTTTCAATCTTGCTCGGCTTTTCAGCATCTGCATCTGAGCAGTGTTACCCCTTTGTTAGGGCTACCTGTGTTGAATAGGGTGGTGTCCCTGTTAAGAAGTTGTAGGACTCACACAAACTCGTTGGGTCTGAAGCTGTAGTGTAACTTGCTCTTTTCCTTGTCCCAGATTTTATCTTCCAGAAGGAGCTGTTTACTGCCAGAGACACAGGTAAGCCAAGCAGACCATGGCATGGGCTTTGTGGGTTAGTCCCCTCTTGGGAGCTGCTTTGGGGAGGTCAGTGGGTCATGCCTGGAGCATACCATAAACCTGCTCTTATCCCTGGGGCAGGACACTGGCTCCATGCTGTGCTGTTTTAGCAGTATGTGCTGTATGTGCATCACTACTGGGCTCTGCAGTCCCTTCCCATGCTGCAGCCCTTTGGGTTCTTTCTTTGGGCCCTCTCTGGGGCACACAAGGCCTGTGGTCCCGCTGGGATGTGGTTCCTGGCCCTGCAAAGAGGGGACTATCACACCCTGGCCAAAGGGCTGTCTCTAGCCCTGTTCTTGCTTCTCTCCCTGCAGCCTGTGTACCTCCTCTACTGCTAAACAGGAGTCAAAAAGTACTTCCAAAGAACCTCTGGGGGAAGGCTGCAGAGGCAGAGAGAAGCCCAGGAATTCTGGGAGATTTTTGAGCACTAGCCAAGAGCAGTGCCAGCTTGGGAAACTGAGGAGGCAGTAAACACTGACAGCACGGGCTGCTACGTCTGATATTCTCCCTTTCTGTCTGTGCACCCTTTCCAGATTCCATGCACAACGTCTCTGCTCAGCCCTGGCAGGCAAAGATGGCCAACCTGACCTATGACAACTTCACCCTGGGCAACCGCTCCGAGGTGGCCATCCAACCTCCCACCTACTACAAGACAGTGGAGCTAGTTTTTATTGCCACAGTCACTGGCTCGCTCAGCCTTGTCACCGTGGTGGGGAACATCCTGGTGATGCTCTCAATCAAGGTGAACCGACAGCTCCAGACTGTCAACAACTACTTCCTCTTCAGCCTAGCCTGTGCGGACCTTATCATTGGTGTCTTCTCCATGAACCTTTACACAGTCTACATCATCAAAGGCTACTGGCCACTGGGGGCTGTGGTATGCGACCTCTGGCTGGCTCTGGACTATGTGGTGAGCAATGCCTCTGTCATGAACCTGCTTATCATCAGCTTTGACCGGTACTTCTGTGTCACCAAGCCCCTGACATATCCAGCCAGGAGGACCACCAAGATGGCAGGGCTAATGATTGCAGCTGCGTGGATATTGTCCTTCATTCTCTGGGCCCCTGCCATCTTGTTCTGGCAGTTCATTGTGGGCAAGAGGACAGTCCCTGAAAGGGAATGCTACATCCAGTTCCTCTCCAACCCAGCAGTGACCTTCGGCACAGCCATTGCTGCTTTCTACCTGCCTGTGGTCATCATGACGGTGCTGTACATCCACATCTCCCTGGCCAGCAGAAGCAGGGTGAGGAGGCATAAGCCTGAAAGCAGGAAAGAGAGGAAAAACAAGTCCCTCAGATTTCTCAAGGGCCCCTTGATCAAACAGAACAACAATAACTCTCCCAAGAGGGCTGTGGAGGTGAAGGAGGAGGTGAGGAATGGAAAAGTGGATGATCAGCCATCAGCACAGACAGAGGCCACTGGCCATCAGGAAGAGAAGGAGACATCCAATGAGTCCAGCACTGTAAGCATGACCCAGACCACAAAAGACAAGCCCACAGCAGAAATCTTGCCAGCGGGGCAAGGACAGAGTCCATCCCACCCCCGGGCAAACCCAACTTCCAAGTGGTCCAAGATTAAGATTGTCACCAAGCAGTCTGGGACTGAATGTGTCACCGCCATTGAGATTGTCCCAGCAAAGGCAGGAGCCTCTAACCACAACTCCCTGGCCAACAGCCGCCCAGCCAATGTTGCCAGGAAGTTTGCTAGCATTGCCAGGAGCCAAGTACGGAAGAAACGCCAGATGGCAGCCCGAGAGAAGAAGGTCACTCGCACCATATTTGCTATCCTGCTAGCCTTCATACTCACATGGACTCCATACAATGTGATGGTACTCATTAACACCTTCTGTGAGACCTGCGTACCTGAAACAGTGTGGTACATTGGCTACTGGCTCTGCTATGTCAACAGCACCATCAACCCAGCCTGCTATGCCCTCTGCAATGCCACTTTCAAGAAAACCTTCAAGCACCTTCTCATGTGCCAGTACAGGAACATTGGCACAGCCAGATAAACTGGCACTCAGGGACCATTTCCTCTGCTCCCCACTCACAACAGTGCAGATTGTGCAGTGATTGCAGATGATGTCCTTCATCCAACACTGACAAAGATCCAAGGCACCTCTAAGCCGCAGGTCCCTCCAGTCACCCTGGTCCTGGGGACTAGCTTGGGGAGCCAGCAGGAAAGCCAGAGGCAAAAGGAGGAGATGTGGTCACAAGGAACCCTTGGCAGCTTCATGATGCTCTTGAGAGATTGGCCAAATGGCATCAGTGTTTCTCCTAAGACTGGATGCACCTTCTCCCCTAGCTGACTGTCTTCAGGGCATCAGGGCTTGTCTGCATGCAGACGAGCTAATGCTGGATGCTTTCAATAGGCTTTTAGAGCGTTTATTACCCAAGGAATGAAGAGAAACCAGAGTCAAACATTTGCTAGACATCTTGGACCAGTCTGGCTTGGGCATGCTAATGGGGAGTCCTGCTGGCCCAGCCAGGCCCCCTCCCAAGGCAGTCAAGGTTGCTTCCTAAGAGATTTGGCAAGCTCCTTCCCTTTCCTTGAGAGTGCCATTGCACCCAGGGACCCGGGGCAGAATTTTTCCCTGGGCTTTGGCTCTGCTCTCCCCTTCATGCCCCTTCAGCCTTCAACTTTGTCTGACTGGACAGACAAACCAAGCATCTCACTCCTGGGTGAGGAGTTTGAAAGCCAGTCGCATCCTACAACAATGGAAACTAAAACTGCAAAGAAAAGCAGTGATGTGGTGTAGGACTTGGCTCCACAGCCCTGGGCAAACATGGCCCCTGAGAAGTGAGCAGCAGTGACCATAAAAATAACTGTCTTTGGGAGGGATGGGAGGAGCTGGGGGTCTCGGATGGGGGGTGGGAAGAGGATCTGCAACGTAGTTGATGTGCCCTATGTCTCACCTGGGCCATGAGCAGGTCCCTGCTCTCCCCATGGAGAGTGTGGGAGACCTGATGCATAGCTCTGGGGGCAGGAGAGGACAGCAGTGGCCCCCAGCAAGAGGGTGCTCCTGGGAGGCTGAAGGAGCCGGTTGCTGAGCTTTGTAAATGGATGTAACGCTGTCGTCGGTGTTGTGGCAGAGCCCTCAGCATGTGGGCTTCAGCCAGCATCTCCAGCCTCCTTCCAGCCCACCTCTGTGTGCAACCCAGACCACCCTGGGGCTGCTGCTCCTCACCTTTTCCCAAAGCCGAGTTTCTGTAAGGCTTGGTGGACACAGTCAGGTGCAGGCAAGAGATGGGATGGGTCCACTCTAGCACTGGGAAACTTCGTGTCTGTATGTCCTTCCCATTCTCATGCCAGGGTGATGCCATGCAACCTGGAAAAGGCTGCCCTGACCCAGATGGGAACCCCTCCACTGCTGCCTTTAGGATAATTCACACAGGGGTGCCCAAAATGCCTGGTGGGCTTCTGGGTATTTTTAAGCAGTTACAACTACAGCCCAACCCACCCCAAGAAAAATAAAGACCTTGGACCAGAAACCAACAGCCATGGTGTGAGGAGTGAATGAGTCATCACCTGGGTGCTCCTTCCCAGCTTCCCAGTGACAGTTCCTGCAGCATGAGTGGCAGCCCCACCTCTTCTGCCAAGATTAAGCGGGGGCAGCCTGAAGCACTGCTGAAGAGAGGCTGTGAAGTCTAACTCATTTCTCCAGGACCATGTGCTTGTGGCACTCAGGCCATCACCACCAGCCACATGGTATCTTTACTGCTGGTCCTGGTGGGGTCAGCAAAACCAGGGTTTGCTGGGGCTTCCAGCACAGCAGCACCTTGTGGGGACAACAGGTGGGTTCTGATAGTTTTTAAAGAAGATTTTATTTGAAAAGAAAACAAACCCCATTTTCCAAAAGGAGTGAGAGCTCCCACCCAGCACCAGTGTTGGCGTGGTAAAGGCAGGGGCGCTGCATCCCCAGCAGGGACACACATGATTAGAAGTAATAAAGGAGAGGAGACATGGTGGTTCCTGGGGGCAGTGGTCATTTTCCTCAGCTGCTGCAGGTAAGTCATGCCCCAGCCAACGGGATGCTGGAATAAGCCTCCTGAGCTGAGAGCAGTCCCTAGGTGAGTACAGAGCATGAATGATGGGATTACTTAGGCAATCAATACCCAGCCCTTCCCTCTGGCACTGGTACCTGTGCAGGAGGCTCCGGGGCTTGCCAAAGGATGAGCTAAAGGCAACTCATTTGTGCTGGAGGGTTGAAAAATGTGTGTTCCCATCCCAGCTCTTCAGGCACATCCCAGCAAACCCCAACACCAGCTGAGAGGAGGTGAGCGGAATGCGTGGGCAGTGGCAGTGAGGCAGCAAGGATGGGGTCAGCCTCTCCTGCAGGGTGGGTGAGTTTGCTCTACAACACTAGTGATCAAAACAAGGCATCTGAGTGAAAGGAGGTCATGTAAAGGAGAAAGGCAAGGAGGAGGAAGACTGGAGTGTGGTCCATCTGCAGCTGGGCATCCAGTCCTGTAGGCACCTTATTGAGGGGCCGATGAGTATGCTGGCTTCCTGCTCTAGTCCTTCCTTTTACCCTTCTTTGCTGCATCCAAGAAACACAGGAGACAAGAGTTAGTGCATCTGCTGGCAGCTCACCAGTGCCCCAGACGTCGCTGTATCAGGTAGAAATGCAGCCAGCATGGCTGGCTTGGCATAGCACAGGGGTCACATCCCTGCAGGCAGACTCCCACCATGCAAAAACCATGTTTTGCACCAGTACCAGTAAGGAAAGGGGAGAAATCCCATTCCACAAAAGCTGGTCCCACACAGGAAGCAGCTGGACTTTGGGGCTGTCATATATGCTGTTGCAAAGTAAAGAACATCCTATGTAAGCCCCCACACCACCATCAAAACTCAAACCCAAGGGGCCAAGACACCTCTGAAAAACCCATGCTTGGCGTCTCAGCAGGACCCTTCTGGGGTTAGTGGTGGGAACTGACCTTTGGACTTCGAATTGATCTTGGAAGAGCAGGGCTTGGTCACATAGACAATCTCCTCACAATGGGCATTGTACAGGGCTTTCTTCAAGATGCCGGAGCGAGTCTTCACGCCTGTCTGAGCACTGCACCCTCCCCAGCTCTCAAACTTGTACTTGCAGTCAGCTGGATGAGGAGGGAGAGGCATCAGAGCTGGCCAGGGCCCAGCATGGCCACCAGCCCCAGTAAGCCCACCCAAGGTGGTCCCCAGCCACCCCACCTTCACGTACGCACCTCCAAACTTCTTCTTCCAGTTGCAGGGGATCTTGCACCTGAGCTTCTTGCTCTCATCTTTGCAAGTTCCCTCACGGTAGCCCAGGCCACAGTCCTTACTGTTGGGAACACAGGGTCCCCAACGCCAGTCCTCACACTTGGAGCCATCCTTCTTCACCTTCTCTGTGAGGAAAAGTGGAGTGGGTGCTCTCTGCTGGGACAGAGGAGCAGGCTCCAGGCTGCCCCTGCTCCACTGGCCCCCCTGGCCCAGGCTGCCCCTCACCTTTCTTGTTCTTGCCAGCCTCAGCAGTGGCAGCCAGCAGGATCAGCGTCAGGAGGAGGAGGAGGAGGCCCTGGACCTGCATCCTGCCTGGGGAGGAGGGAGAGGGTGAGGTGGGTGAAGGGGCCAGGGTGCCGTGCAGCATTCAGGAGGGGCCACGGTGGGCTGTTGGCAGTCTGCGTGGGAGTAAGACAGCAGCTGCCTCCATCACACCTGTGCGTGTGCAGGAGCCGTCTGAGCGTTAAATCAGCGGATTACAAAGCCCCGCGGCGAGGGGCGCGCTGGAGGGACGGAGCGGAGCGCAGGGACGCGCAGGGACGGAGCGGATAGCAGGGACGGAGCGGAGCGCAGGGACAGAGCGGGAACGCAGGGACAGAGCGGAGCGCAGGGACAGAGCG